ACGATACCCTCCGGTTTTAGAATGCATGAATAACTATTGTATTATTTATTTATTTTATTTCTTTGTTTTTATTTATAAATTAGGAGGATTATTATTCTTGGCTAGTAAGTAAGATTTAGATTGTGAGGACTCTTCTATTTATCTAGTATCTTCGTGGCTCTGTTGAAACACACTACGACGAATAAAAATTATCTGATTTGAGATATCGTCTCTTGTTTCCTTCTTTCTTCGCTGCCCCTACATCACTAAATAAATTCACCTATTAAGTAAGTCGCTTTGTCCAAATATACTGATATTATCCCATATCAAAACAAATATTACGGTCTCGTGCATATATATGATGAATCGAAATATTATATTATAGATGATGGTTCAATATCCGAGTCTAGGTAGAATCGGTTGAGAACAACTCCGATCTGCCTAAATCATCACTCGTAGACCTACAAAAAGCTCAAAGTCAGAGGGGATTGCGATGTAGAGCCTCTGATGCTTAAGTTAGTATAGGAAGGAGGATAATTGTTCTGTAATCAAAGAGCTATGTATAATGCATGTAGAATGTAGAAGAATATTTGTGGTTGCACCTCACACCTCTTTTATAGAGGATTACCCTTTTATTAAGTGATTTAGTGAGGTCTTTTTCAGATTACAGCTATTACGTGCATCTCTTCGCAAGTTACTTTATCAGAATAGTGACTCATCAAATCACCTTGACGTTGATAAGTCGTCCTGCGCGAGACCTAGGAGTAGGTCCCTTGGTCATGATATGACGTGGGCTACATATCTTGGTGACCTTATCCAAATACCTTTTAGTCTTTTTTTTCAAAGGTCATCTTCATCAAGATCTCGACCTAATGTCGACCTCTGCATCCCCTCTCGACTTAACGGCTTCTCTGAGCCTCTCCTCGACTTAGTTACACTTGACTGCAGTTCGCCAATAGGGTTAAATCATCAAGTCTCTTCTGATCTTACTCAATTCTCGAGCTATGGAGTAAGGTCAATGGTCAAAAAGTGCTTTGACAGTGTCAGAGATCATAAATACAGGATCTGAAAGGATTCTTTTGTCTCTTCACATTCTATGTCATTAAAATCGATGCGTGATTTGTTCCTAATCCAAGGGTCCACCATCTTTTAGGTCAAGTATATATAGTGTCATCCTTGTCATTCAAAAACTTTTACTACTCCTCAAACTTTGTCCTCAAATTCTCTGTAAGTATTCTTAGGATTTCAAGAAGGTCTTCGTAGTTCATCGCCAAATCTTTCTAGAATCTCCTTTCTCATCCAAGAATCATGAGTAATTTCTTCGATTTCTTATTTTTCTGTCAATTTTTTTGGTGTTCTTTGATGCTCTTCATAATGTTCTTCAAATTTTCTAGGCATATTTCCTTTGATCCACGTGCATACAATATGAGATTTGTTTTTCTTGTTTGCCTTGGTCGTTGTCTGGTGCGAACGAAAACGACGAGTCACTATATCTCTAGGTCATTTGTGATAAGTAGTTATGCCCTTTATCATGAGTCAATGTGTTTTAGGTTGCAATATACCAGTCTCTGTATATTAGATCGATATCTTTATTTTTCACTATTTGCGTTGAGTCCGAGAAAGAAAATTTCGTTTCAATTAATCATAGGTCGCGGAATGCGCTGATTGAGATTAAATCATAAAAAAAGGTTTCAGCGCTTAAGTGTATGTTGCGTTGTATGCTTAGTCGCAGGTCACTAGTTGCTTCACATCAGTTTATAGGTCTTTGTACTTTGTTGTTTTGTAACAAGTTCGTATGCCTAGGTCGTTTGTTTGTGCCATAAGTTGTGTTTATCTTGGCGTTTGTTTTCAAATGATGTTATAGTTATGTCTTCATCCCAATTCCTCCCTAAGTCGCTTGATTGATAATTATCCTGAGTCGCTTGTTAGAATAATAGACCGACTTGCTAAGGTCGATCGATTTAGTCCTTCTAGAGGGCTGGTCGATGAACCCTTTGGTAATGCAGACTGGGAGGAGCTCGAGCCAACAGAGAGGCCGTCGGGCTCCTGCAGCTCAAATAATGAAAGTCTCCCCAGCGTTGAAATAATTCCAAAAGGTACTCCTTGTCGAAATAATTGACCATATATATATAGTGAAGAATCAATGGAAATTGGTTTAAGTTGAACAAAAACTTGTACTAAGTGGATAATGGTTGTTTTCAAGTAATAATTGACAGTTGACTGATGACTAATAGTAGATAGTTGAATGAATTAGCGGATTTACCCACTTAGTTGGATAAATTAATTTTGCAAAACATTTGTAAATAATTAGTTGTTTGATATGTAAAAGTAACTGAAACTAGAATAATCTATTCAAAAAAGCTCCTACATTGAGCTTTTCAAAAAATAAGTTTATGAATCTAAAGGTTATTTCAAATCGCTACTTACCAAACAATAAAACTGAAGATTATAATATAGTTATAAACTTTTAATTTACTTCAAATCTTTAATTTGGCCACAAATTGCTAATAACCGTTTAGCTTTAAAATATAATGGATTTCCTTCAAGCGGCTTTGTTATGAATATTTTGAATTTGGACGAGTCAGAAATTAATGTTGAATTATTTTTATTATTCTAAAGAGTTGGGACGGGATTGGGGGAAGCTCTGGCTGCTCGGCTCGCCGGAGTTGAGTGGGCTGGGGCTAAGGTGGGTCGTCTCGAGCCCCTATATTCCTCGTCGCTGGCTGTTGTGACGTGGGGTGTCCGGCTTGCGGGACCTAGGCTAGTGGTGTTGGTCGGGTCTCGGGAAGCCGGAGTGTGTGGGGGGCTGGTCGACACTCCTTCGACTGCGGGTCGGCTTTCACTTCTTGGATTTGTCCGAGACCTCGGATTTTGGCTTCAGCTAGGCCTTTCGGCAGTTTCGGGAGTCGATTTCTAGGTTGAGGTTCATCTCTGTGGGTGTTTGTCCATGATTATGCTGGTGCCTTGTGTTGGGTCTGGTGTTATTGGCTGGGGAAGGGCTTTCTCTTCTGTTTTCTAGTTTTCTCGTTTTAGTTCTCGTTAGTTTGTTATTTGAGTCTGTGTTTGTGATTTTTGGTCTTGTTTTTTAGGTTTGGGCTGTTGGCCCCGGTACTGATTCTTCTGTGGGGGCCGTTGGTGTGTTTGTGTCTGTTAGTTGTGTGTTTGTTTTTTATATTCTAGTGTGGCTAGCGAGGTTCTAGGTGGATTTTCGATCCGTTCTCTCAGTTTCTAGTTCTGGGTTGTAATATTCAGCCTTGAGCTACTTTGTACAGTTGTGCGTTTTTATTTATAATATCTCTATCGTTTTGGCAAAAAAAAAAAAAAAGTTCATCTATCTATAGAAATAAAAGCTTAAAGTTGGTCACCACATCATAAGTTTGAGAAAAAACGTGAAAAATAAATATGAGCATAAATTTAATGTAAACAAAATTTGTATGAATATATATATATATATTTTATATTATAGACATTTATATGTACTTATATGAAATAGTTAAGCAATTGATTCGAAACAAATAAGTCGTCTTCTCTTTCAATTGGCTTGACCAAGAGTCCATTTTAAACTTTCATAATCATATCTATTTCACATCATGGTATGGGCCAATAAAAGCTTTCCCAAAATCCATAACAAAAGATATATAATTTAAATTTATTTGTTTTTGAGTCCGTTATACTAACTAAGTCTATTTTAATATAATAATATAATAATAATAATAATACTAAAATTTCGTCTTTCCTACATACTCTATCGATCGTGCGCATGGTTAGGTCAAACAGTCAAAAACAATCCCAAAGTGGTCCACGTGTCAAAACCTGGTCTATTACATGTCACTTACAATTATTTAAACCACATGATTATTTTTTTTTTCAAATAAGAAAAAGTCCATAAAAATAAAATTGAATAAAGACTTAACTGGCACATAACATCCTCATATTTTATGTAATTCCAAATAAAATTCAACATTTTTATCTTTTCAAATAAATTTTATTATGTGTTGCAAGTTTGTCTGTCAGACGGGGGCGAAACGAGTGCGGTCCCACACAGGTGAAGCGAATGAAGCTCAAGTGAGGTTCCATCCCAAAACCAATTAGTGGAAGGAGGAGTAGCCCACTAGGCTTATAAAATAGACTCATTTACACTATCAAATCAATGTGGACAACTCAAAAGTGATATTCCAACAGTCCCAAAACCATTTTCCGACGAAACCTTGTTGACATGTCCGATCAAAAATCTTACGTGACACTTATGAGGCTTGTGTGACATCAATCTTTGAAACTCCTCACCTTCTTCTTCCCACATCATATGCCAACAAATTAACCAAAATTATAATTTAGTACCAATTGAAAAAATATGATTTTATCACCATGTTTTTTGCTCCATAATCTTAATAAAAATCGAGTTCTGTTCCCCCAATTGATTTTTTTTTCTTCTCTTCTTCACGGCGCGATTCTTCAGCCACAAAAATCGAGTTTACACCCACGTTCCGAACACATTTACCAACTCACCCCCAAATTCTGAAAAATTTGGCAAAATGAGCAATTTCTGAGCGATTTTTAGACGATTTTAATGTTCTGATCGGACACGTTAGTAAAATTGATCGAAAAATAGTTTTGAGACAAATTTGCAAC